AAATCAAACTGCTTTTCATTTTGAATATGCCTTTATCCTTCTTTTTTTCTTACTTGCGACCAATCTATTCTGAAGTTTGAAGAGTAGGTAAGTTTACTATATTTTTATTATTTCATATCATTTAATTGTTGTTAAAGCCCAGTAAAAATCAATGCGCCATAAGTCTTTCTTCAGTTATCACTACTGGAAAAACAATCAAAATCCATAGTTATATTATTTTTATACTATTATACCGGAATGAGGCTAAACCCTGTTGACAAAATCAGGAGACATTCTTGCTACATACAGTACATAAAACATGACTCATTTGAAGCTTCTACTCTTACAGTTATTTTTGAAAGACTATCTAGGTACCTTAAGAATATAATAAACTTCATTGCAGTACATTTCAAATTGATTACACTTTAATATATTTAAATCTGGGATGTTCTCGTCTAATAAAAGTATATCAATGATGTGAATATTTGTCTTAAAACACATTTTGAGTCGAAACAATGGCATAATCTTAAAGTTAAATTAACGTCAAAACAATGAGGTAATAATTGAGTGGTTTTTTATTATTTCCTAAAGGGGCTAACGAGAAGGTAGCCTAGCTGACGGGAAGTAATCACCGTCACCCATGGACATCTGCAACATAAGGAGTTGGGTTGGATGCGTAGCTGGTCTTAATTGTGAAGGAAGTTGGTACCTGAATACATAATGTTTCAAAACCTCGTGCGGACGATCATTCCTCGACCTGTACTTGCGGCAAAAGTGACCGATGATGATGCTCAATAACTATTAAGCATAAAGTCGAGCATTTAGTTTTTACGCCTAATTATGTTTTTTTTGCTCATATTGTTTGTTTAAGTATCAACTTTAAATTTCCTTTATTGCTTCCACCTATTCTTTATTATTTTATTATTTAACCTAAGACTTAAAATTAATTCTTTTTCGAGGTGATTTATAAAAAAAAGAAAAAATATATTTATCCTTACCAGTAACGATTCATAAATTCCTATTGCAAAATAAAATTAAAAGGTAACGTTATGTTGTTTTCACAATATATTCTTGGTTAGGATTTGACGATTAAAAATTAGCTAATTAAATGTCTCTGAAAACTTTTGAAGTTTAAAAACCACTTCTTTTCACTGTAAAAATATTTTAAAACATTCATGCTGTCAACGATATGCAATACTCAATAAATATGTCTCATAAAGGAGGGTACCGGAAATATAATATTATTAACGACATCATTGCACGATTACGAATAAAACATCGCTGGGCAGAACTAACTGTTACAAATCCTTATGGTATATTTATTTCTTAAATTTTATTTTTATTCGGATGACTTGAGTATATAAAGTAATGTTTTACAAAGCAGTCTCATTGTTTTACGGGCAGCCGACTGATATACAAATTCTACTTTAAGCAAACGTATTGTACAAAAATGACGTTAATATTAATTTTGATCGTTATACTTATTGTTGTGTATATAACGAAGACTCTCATCAAGCCGAAAAACTATCCGCCAGGTAAGCTTTATTATTTTAATGTTACTTAGACTGTCTTCTAAGTTAGAAGATTTTTTATGATAATGTACAATTATCATAATACTTGTTAAATAATTTATATTGTTCCAAATAATTATTTATAATTATTATAATGACATTGTTTGAACGCAAGTCACTGGGTAAGAAATAATACTTAAAAAAATGATTTAGTATGAATATTTGGCAAAGTGAATTCTGATGTGGATGTTATACAATATATACGAATATAACACTTTATATTATATTCATAAATATTGTATACATTAAAAAAAATATTTGGCGTAGCATATATTTTTAAATAAATAAATTACATGTGACTTTTAGTAAACATCCCATAAAAGAAACTCGTTTAATGTATGTAACATAATATTGTTTATTTGAATATTCTCAACAAAAAAATATTACAAGTCGACCTCACTCTCATGTAACTTCTAAAGGTTAAAATTAAAATTAGCATTAAATTTTTATGACATCTTGTAATAGTATTAAGTATATGATAACTATTTCATATACTTATCATTATGTTATAAACTTTAAAACATAATGAGAAATGGTTATCCTGATATGAAATATGAATATGTTCAATTTATTAATATTTATGTTATGTTTGGCCAAGTTAAATGATTACGTATGGATCAATTTAAGTGAAATTCGCTACAGCTAAATATTTTAGTGTATTTTTGGTCCAATAGTCTCTTTAGTTCAATTTCAACAAAAGTTTTACTTTCTGTACGTTTTTGTTTTATTTCGTCCAAATTTGTTGAAACTGAGCCGTAACATTAAATGTTTCGGAAACTACAACGGAAAAGTTTAAAAGTACTTAAATTATTATTTAATTATCGCCATGGCTACATAATACACTGCTGAATACGCGAGGTGAAGTTTTTTGAAGTTTGAATCACTGTTTTAAACTTGTTATAATTGTTCAAGCTTTCGCTATTATATTTACTGTTTTTGAACTAAATCTCCGTGAGACTGTATATTTAACTGTCATTTTTAACCATAAAAATAGAATGGATTGAAATTGAATTCCTCTGAACTATTTTGATGTTTCACACAATGTATATTCGTGTGTAAATTTTATTTTTACAATAATTTTTAATACTATTATGTGTTTGTGATCTATTAAGAGTTATCGAATTGAGTCAATGGTACCAAAATAATACTTTGTTAGTTTCCGTAAGTTAAATAAAGATACAATCACAAGTTTTATTTAAATTTTGTCACATACATACATACATACATAGAGGAAGTGACGAGTTTAGCTAGTTTTAGTAACGAGTTTACTGCAGTATTTTTTTTTTCATTTTTCGTTTACAGTTACATTATTGAATACTAAGTATAAAACTAAAAATTAAATTTTGTAATTTACAGGGTATATATAAAAATAAAAAAATATTTATTTTTAATAAAAGCAAATAAAAATTGTGTAATTGTTAAGACTTAAGTTTTAACATTTTATTTTGTTATTAATGCCAAAAGGCAGTCACTAATTTATATAAAAAATGGAAGCTCATTTTTTGGGTCAGTCACGGACTATTTTGTTACAATAGAGATGTTAATCACGTCATGGAAATAACTTATACTTTAAGTAACAAAGGACCTGAAATTAGTAATGACTTGAAATTATATTTTTGTCGACTTTTGTCGAAAAATACGACAGTGTCAGAACTTATTGTTAAAGGAATACGAAAAATCTGTGAAACGCATCTTAAATTGAAAATAATTTAAAGACAAGAGATCAGTATCTTTGTTTAAAAAAATATCTGGGTTGGAACGAATCTGAAATCGCATCCTTCTATAAAAATTTCAATCACATGAACATCATTGTTTCATACAAGTGCTTTTAGACAGCTATATATCTCAATGCTTTTTCATCTATAAATTAATAGTCTTTATTGGAATAGTCTAAAATTTTAATGATAAATTCCATGTCCAAACACTAATAAATATAAATATTAAAACGTATAAGATAATAATCTAGTACCTACCTTGACCTCCTCTTCGTGAGTAATAAATTCATATTAAACGGTATTTTTTAAAATAAATAAAATTAAATACTTAACTGCGCTTCGGAAGCTTTATTATTAATTACCTTTTATTTGCATTCAAAGAATAAGCTGTAGCTAAAGCCATTAACTTTTAAAATGTAGTAATAGTATTTTTATTAAATTCATTGTCATTACAAAGCCATCTTCTCTTAATTATAGTTCACGGGTCGCTTCAAACTGAAGCCTTAATTTTCTGTTAGAAAGAGGTGCGGGAAAAGATTTGCAAATAAATTTTTACGAGAGTATGTTTTTTGCCACATGTAAAATAATGTATATACAAAACAAGTAATGAAAAGAGTAGTTAATTAGATTTGCGAAATAATATTAATTTTAGAAAAATTAATTGGAGTACAACAATGCATCGGAAATATTCAGCTCAAGTCTGAACCTTTTCATAATTTAAGTCTATAAAGAAAATGAAGCCTGTTATCTCATAAAAATAAAATAAAATAAATATTTAACAACCAAGATCAGATTAGCAAAAATTTTATGATTTCTTGTTGTTCAACAAAAAGTTTGATTACATAAGTGTATTTTAAAACAATCATGATATCAAGAGATGTCTTTCAATCTAATCGCATATTTGATAACGCGTAACAAGAAGATATGTATATTTATATACATTCGACCACAATGACATGAATAAAACTTTTTAAAACTTAGTGCTAGGTTCTTTGTTAATAGAATATATGTACTAGTTGATGATTAAACATAAAGTCAATTACCTAGTATGCTAAAATATTCCCTCAAGAGAGCTCACGTTAAAATTGTAGGACAGACTTGTAAAGTAGAAATTAACTAAAATAAATAAAGTGCCTAACTTATTTTTCTGAAATATCAAAAATGGTTATTTAAAGTCTCCAGGCCAAAACAGGTTCAAAACTTTAAGACTTAACTTTTTGAGATTTTTTTGAGATGAAACGGTTAGTAGATTAAAGTGTGGTAAAATATTGAAAAGATATTGTTTGTGTTAATAATATTGATTATTGCACCGTTTTGAGTGAAAAATTAAAATGTAATTCTAATATATATATCAAAAAACCATTGAAATATCAAATATTTGACAATTATTAAAATAATTGGTTTAACACCGACCATCTACAAAAGAAAATAATTTACGTATAAGTTTGTTACGATGTACATAAAACATATGTATATATTTTGAACCGCTTAGTACTTAAGTATACCGCTTAGTACTTAAGTATAAAAATCAAATCGCTTAGTACTTAAGTATACCGCTTTAAGATGTTGAGCGTTAAAGCGTGTTAACACTTGATTTTTGGTGTGTTCTATTTATCATTCATACCAGAAAAATTATAAATCATTATTTTCTATTTCATAATACATACCGCATTTCATTTCAGGTCCTACATGGTATCCGTTTTTCGGCTGTAACAATATTATCCATGCAAAAACTATGAAGTTCGGGTCTCAATTCAAAGCATTGCAGGTGATGGCCAAAGAATATGGGACTCAGGTACTTGGCTTAAAAATGGGGAGCGAAATGGTAGTGGCAGTCTTCGGTGAAAAAAATATACGTTTTGTGTGCAACGATATGAATTTCGATGCTCGGCCAGATAGCTTTTTTATTAAGTTGCGAACTTTTGGAAGAAGATGCGGTAAGTTCAGTGCAGATATAAGAAGTTATTTTTTCATGTGACATAAATTTATGAATTGCGTAATAGCAAGTTAATTTCTCCATAAATGTAAAACTCTTAATAGATAAACTCATTGAAAATACTATTTATTAGAAATTCAGACAATAATGTTTTCTGAATAGTATGGATTTATATATTCTGAAAGATATATTGTATAATATTTAGAAACTAATGGGACAAACTGGATACCAGATATATATATATGTCGGAGCGTCAGGAGGATGCTTCATGGCGGTCTTGGCTTTTCATATCCATCATGGGCGTTGTGACGATTGGAACTCATAAATAAAAGCACACTTGCATTTTACAATACATTATAACTAGATTTCTTTAAAATTGTATTAAAAAAAATTACATTTAAATAATAAGATGAAAATGGATTATGAGCCAATAGGTTAGTCTTGTGCACTTTGTTTGACGGTTGCCCATAGCATTCTGGCCGTCCTCACATTCAGTGACAATCTCTACCCTATTCAGCACTGGGCGCCCATAATTTTTTGGAACAATTCAAATGAATTCCCTAAGAAGTTTATTATTAAACTCATCCAAAATCGAAGCGCCGTCATATATATTGTATATCGGATTTATTACAAATTCGTTGTTTTTAAAGAGAGACACCAGCCTCGCTGACGTCACTAAATGTCACTTCTTCTAGAGCGTTCCATGATATTTTAAAATGAAACTTCAATTGTTCTTAATGCTCCTGTATTTCTCGAAGGTTCTTCATAATCACATACTTCAATGATACGCACTCACTGAACTCTGAATTCTCAATTCTGCCGTCGTGCATCCAGACGTCCTATTTGTACCAAGATTTAAACATAGTTCTATTCTACTTTTAAACAATATTTTATTTCGTTTTACTTTTAACAATAATCATGAATATTAATGAGTTCTAATAATAATTGATGACAGCCTCAAATTATTTTCATGTCGCATCCGTATAAAGCTGATAGCGCCGATATATATATATATATATATATATATATATATATATATATATATATATATATATATTTATGTATATATATATATATATTAGTTTAAAATATGTTTTTGGACACGTTATGCTGTTTCTCTAATTTATATTCAATTCATAATTCAACTCTTTCTCATAAAGCACATAATACATATTCAAAGACAGTCTTTCCCCCTAGTTTGAGGGTGACGAACTAAGAAAAGATAAATAGAGATTTTTTCTAAACTAACAATGCAAATAGTAAGCTAGATGATAATTTGAAGATGGAAACAAAACCCACGAGTCACTTCCTAAAAATATATGTTTTTCTTCTTAAAATACATAGTACTATCATTTTTGTATCATTGAAATGATTCTACTGATTTACGTATTATGGAAAGGAATATCGTTACATCAATTTATAGAATAACTAGCTGACCTCCAGGAATTCTCTAGGATTCTTGAGGAAGGTTTTAATAAATAATTTGTTAAGGTTTTGTATCGATTCATGCGTAAATTAGCGATATTTGTTTAAGATGTCGGGAAAAAAAAGCCGTCTGTCAGATTTTAACGAAAACGCTGCCAAAACCTTTAGAGACGTAATAAAGCAAGTTATATTGTAATTATGATTTTATATAGGTCTAAAGAAAAGTCCGCGGTGGCATATTTCTATCTCTTAAGGATAACATATTGCAAAGCTATTTACATAATTAAGGTATTTAGTCTTATCAAAATAAATTACTTCGTGTTCAAGCTTACATCAGTATATACAAATTACTTTTTGATTTATTTAATTCAGATGGACCATTTGACAGTTATCATAAGTTTAATAATTCTCAAAATTGAATCCTCTCGACAGCTCAGTTTTTCACATGAACATGTCATTAATGTTGTATACAAAATTTTTGTAATTTTATTTAATTGAAAGGCTATTATTATCATAAAAATATAACGTTTTTCTAAGTTCAAACCTAAAATATATTTAATTCAAAAAGTAAGTACTGAACGCATTATACGCAACATAGGCTATTATAATTTTTGTAAACCCCCTGGGAACCTCAGGCGGGTATCTAGTTTGATATACATATAAGATAATGTTTGCTAAATGGTTGGAATCACTATCGAGAGTTCAAGTAGCTCTTAATAAAGACTTGGATCTTCAGAATTAATGAAATCTTCTGTCTTTAATATCTTTGAAATCTTTACAACGGTTCAGAAAATAAAAGATGGTATACTAAACATTAAAAAAAAATCTTTGATAAACAAAAAAACATCTAATGAATAATTACAAAATCAAAATAAAAGATTGTAAGGAATTGTAAAGTAATATAAATGTAGGATACTATTGTGTAAAAAATCATTAAATACTAATACATAAAAGATAATAAATATTTTGCTCAAGATGGATCCCACACATAAAAAAAAAATATGCAAATATTACTTCTCTTTTATATTTACTTCAATTAAAGAAACTCACATAAGCACTACCTGGTGTGTGTGTGTTGTACAATAAAGAATAACATGTGGTTTTGTAGAAGTTCCAACGTTAAAATGTTAGTTATATTAGGGCAATAAGTAGAAAGACGATTTTTATATTACACAAAAAAAAAATCCGATTATGAATATATATAAAACACATTACGTTAATGCAATGATGACTTATATTATTGTTAATTTGTAGACCTTTCAGGAATTTCTGGGCATAAATACTGTTACAATTTTTTAATTGTAACAGTATTTATGCCCAGTATTATTTAAATAAACAAAATATTACATTTTAATTTACAATCTGATCAAATTTTTATATAATTTTTCATTGTGTTCTCTTATTTCTGCGCAAATACATTGTACAATATTTTGCGATATTAAAATGGAATGGGGTGATAAAGAGAACCGAATCGCTGTGATTGCATTACACAAAGTGGGTATGCAGCCAAATGCAATTTTTAAAACTTTTCATAAGCTTGGCCTTAGTCAAATCTTTGTATACCGAGCTATTAATAGGTACTATGAGACCTCCTCTGTTTGTGACAGAAAAAGTCTAGCCGTCCACGTAATGTTTGTATGAAAAAGGTTGTCAAAGCAGTAAGGGAAAGATTTTATTTCGGGCGATGAAGTTAGCACCTAGAACCATGTAGCGTATTTTAAAAAGACTATTTATATCGCGTATATAAAACACTATCGCGTATTTGCCTATAAGAGACGAACTGGACATTTTTTAAATGATAATTTAAAAAAGAATAGGGTGATGAAATCCATTCTTTAAGAAAGTCAGTGGTGGCCCAGTGGTTAAAGGCCTGCCTCTCGTTGCCGAGGGCGCGGCTTCGGTCCTGGCCCGGGCAAGTACCAATGAGTTTTTCCGAGTCATATGTACTTTATAAGAGTACTTAGACATCACTGATTAATGCTGATTCCCAAAAGAGGGTTGATGTCAGGCAGGCGGCCGGTCGTAAAAACAAAAAAGCCAAAATTATTCACAACATGTAAGGCAGACTCTGGCTATAGCTGGGAAATTGCCGAGTAGAAGAAGAAGGGTGATGTAATCTAAACAACTAGTGAAGCGGTACGCAAATGGAGGTCACAGAAAATTTTTGTTTACAGATGAGAAAAATTTCACAACTGAGCAACATTTTAACAAACAAAATGACCTTATTTTTGCTCAAAGCTCTAAATAGCTTCCCAATAAGTCGACCGAGTGCGACGTGGGTCTTATTCGACTTCAGTGTTGGTTTAGTGGGGTGTTAGCTATGAAGGAGTGTATGAGCCATAGTTTCAGTGAAAAAGGTATCAAAATATCAGCACAAGTGTATCAAAATACCATTCTTGAGAGGGTGGTTAAGCCCCTTAACAAAAAAATGTTCAACAACCAACAATGGTCATTCCAGCAAGTCTCGGCGCCGGGTCATAAAGTTCGGTCTACGCAGTCTTGGTTGGAAACGAACGTTTCCGACTTCATCAGAGCTAAAGACTGGCCGTCCACTAGTCCCAATTTTTATACGCTGGATTATGATTTATGGTCAGTTTTAGAGAGTAGGGCTTGCTCTAAATTCCATGATAATTTGGACTCCCTAAAACAATCCATACGATTGGCAGTGAAGAATTTTCCCATGGAAAGAGTGCGTGCTTCTATTGATAACTGGCCTCAAAGCTTAAAGGACTGTATTGCAGCCAAAGGAGACCACTTCGAATAAGCTTTTTATGTTTTAAATTGTTTTATATTTATGTATTAAATTAACATACTGTAAAAGTATTTTTTTTATGTGAAAGGTGGCAAACGAGCCGACGGCCCACTTGATGGAAGGTGTTTACCGTCGCCCATAGACATCCGCAACATCTTTGCAACGGATGCGTTGCCAACCTTGTTTTTTAGGGATAGGGAGGGGTGGGAATAAGGAAATGGTAGGAAAGGGTGAGAATAGGGAAAGGGCAACCGGCTCTCTCACTCATCAACGAAACGCAGCCATTAAAGGCTACTTCACGCCGATCTTCTGTGAGAGAGTGGTACTTCCCCGGTCGAGCCAGCCCATTCGAGATGTATGTAGTAACTGACTACAGCTGGGCTCTACCACCTTACAGTAATAAATGTTATTTGCACTAGAAAAAATATTTTTTTTATTTGTAACAATATTTATGGCTAGACTATGTATTTTTTTTAATTTATGTATACGTATTTCTCTTTTTCGTTACTTTAAAATGACTGTGCCAGGTTTCTCTATATGACTTTAAAAATATAAATTGATGTTTTCATCTTCAAATCCTGTAGCATTTTTTCATCTTACCCTTTATAAATTATTTCAATTTCTTTTTGAAGACATTATAAAAAATAATAATTTTACAATTATGTATTTAATCTCAAAAGACATTAGGAATAGAAATAAATAATAATGATTCGAGTATTATACATACCTACGTCTAAATGAATATTAGGAAGAAAGGAAAAAAAAATTAATAACTGATAAATTTGACGTGTTGATTAGCTTCAATTCTTAAATTTATTTTATTTTTACTATAAGACACATGTAACCATGAATAATTGGTTTAATTTATCAATTGCAGGAGTCACATTTGTAGACGGTCCTCTTTGGCGTGAGCACAGGCAGTTTGTTATGAAATGTTTAAGAAAAGAAGGTTTTGCTAAAGAAGTCATGGAGTCTGATATTCAAGCAGAAACTGATAAAATTTTAAATATTTTGAAAAGTTCCAGTGGAACCCCTGTTAATATTAGATTTCTCGTTTCCATGGCTGTCACAAATATTTCATGGAAGTACATTGCAGGTAATGATATGTTTTAACATTATTCAAATAAGCTGGTCGTAATTAATATTAAGGTTTAGAGTTGATATAGTACAATAAGATGAAAAATTTCTGGTGTTAAAAATTGGTGGATTGTACTACTGTTCATACAGTCAAAATGACTTTATAACTGTTTTTGTGAAAGGGAATGGATGTTCAAGGCATTTTTTTTATATTAAAAAGTGTTAAATTTACAAAAACAGGCTCTAGAAGACTATAGTTCATTTGAATTCGAAGCGTTTGTTGCATATTTTAATAAATTGAAGACAAAGTCAAAGTCATTTAGGAAAACCGCATTATTCAGCTAACTTGTCCATAACTATTACTAATTAATTATCCATTTAAAACCAGGTGAGCATCTTAGAGAAACACAGTTACATAAGTTTATTTCTCTTATGAGCAAACGCTCCGAAGTATTTACTATGGCTGGCGGCTGGCTTAACCAATGGCCTTGGCTTAGGTTTATAGCACCAAATTGGTCAGGATTTTCAATTATACAGAAAATAAATTTGGAAATGATTGAAATTATTCAGGTGAATAATTTGAATACTTCAGTTAAAATACCATATCGATTTTTTTACGGCAACTTTTATCCTCGTTATTTTACTCTCACTGTTTTTTATAGGAATCCATAAGAAAACATAGAGAAGGAAAAGTGCAAGGATCGGACTATATTTATAAATTTATGAATGAAATGTACAGGGAGTCTTTTACGGGTAAGGAGGATATGTATATAATATAAATTTTTCTAAATATATTTGGTTGTTATTTCCAAAACATAATAAGGGGGCATCTTGTAAGAGACTGATATTTCATTCTCTATTTGTCGTTGAGAAAGGTAGCAAGACTAGGGCAAGATCAAGCGTCATGAACTTTCTCTAATTTTGTGATTTTTTAGTTTAAAATATCTCCATAAATATTTAATTTATTTGTAAAACGAATTTCAATGACTGTTCTATTTGAACTAAAAGTAAAAAAGATACAAACCACTGCTTCTGGTCAAATAAGGTTAATTTCATACTTTTCTATTTCAAATTTTTGGGATTTTTCAGACTATATAAGAAAAAGAATTATCATTATTTAATTATTTTGGATAGTTTAATATATTCTTCTTTAATATACAGAAGACCAACTGAGAGGTGTTCTCGTTGACTTTCTCATAGCTAGTACTCAAACTACAGGCAGTGTCATCGGGTTTGCGATTATATCATTAATACGAAATAAGGACATATGTGATAAAATTTACAATGAAATTAACACGATATTAGGTAAAAATCCCCCAAAGGCAGAGGATTGTACACGGTCAGTGCTAGTTTTACTTTTTTATTTCATAATCCTATAACATCACTTTTATTATTACTATGTATTTTAATTCTTCATTTAATTTACCAAGAAGTTTATCTAAAATTTTCAGACTCGTTTATACATCTGCTTTCCTGTATGAAATCTTAAGAAAATATACAATAGCACCATTCTCGGGGCCTAGAAGGACATTGAAGGACACCATCTTAGACGGGTATACTATTCCGAAAGGAACTACAATTCTCATATCACTAGATGATTTGCACTCAAATTCGGAAATATGGAATAATCCTGAACAATTATTACCAGAGAGATTTATTGACGAAAACGGGGACTTAAAAAATACAAACAAAATTTATCCTTTTGGTTTGGGTACGTATTTTGGCCGGCTCTTTGAAACGTAAAGTACTTGTGTCCTCCTTTTAAAAATACTTGTCATCAATTGCAAAATAAGGTTGTATATACTAATTAGCAAATGAACTGTGACTATAAATGGTTTACGATGAAGTTGAATTCAGATAACAGAGTCGTGTAGTGGTCCATTAAGATGCTGGACATGACAATTGAGATTCCAGTGTTATGTCTGCAATACGCCACTTTCATCACACGTGGAATAACTGTTAGAAGTTTTAGATTTATTATTCAACATCTGGTCTGGATTCAGCGCATTTTATTTATTTTTCCAAAGGGCTTGTCTACACAAGTGTTCTACAACACTAAAACTCACTGTCTCGGAGCTACTAGTATACGGCCTCGTACATTTTCGTGTTAGATCAGAAATTTTATAAATTCATGAACCGTATACTTAGGCAATCATGTGAACAGATAAGAATTCATAGAAGACTCTTCTTGTGGACATTATGCTAAATAAACACTTTCTCACAGAATCATAAATTAGATATTACTTATAATTTTAATTTATATCACTTAGTAGGCTCACCGAATCTTCGGACTCTAGGTCATATTTAGGTTGGCGCTACTGCAATAAACACCAACTACCACTTTCTCGTTTACAAGAAGCTTCCTCTTTTTCTGTTCAATTCTTTTCCATTATAATACACACGTATCATAAGTTCTACTTTCACGAAAGCGACTTATCTTCAGATGAAACTTATTGTTCTGGTTTGGCTTTCTATACAATATATATCTATTAGTATACCTTTGGATAAAAAATACATTGCATTATACTAGTATTATTGATAGATATATAAACCCCATCCTTGTTGGATTGTTTAGCATAATAGAACGAAAACTGATATAATTCATCAAACTAAATATTGACGTAATGCAGAGCTAATTAGACTTCATTACATTCGATAACTGACATTAATTATTGTTATTAATACATTTGAGTTATATATATAAAGAAATTAGGATTCTTTAAAGTATGAAATTCTTTTTTTGTAACAGGGCGCAGAGCTTGTCCAGGAGAACCATTAACGAAGTCATTTATGTTAATTTTTATGGTGTCTATCATACAAAAGTACAAAATAGAATGTAGTAATGGGGACATGCCTTCGGATGAACCCATTATTGGATTACTTACAGAGCCCAGACCATTTACAGCAAGATTTATAGAAAGACCTTGAAATGATGGCTTGTAAAGTTTTATACGCAAATGAAATTAAATTACCAAGTTTGGAATTGGAGATTTAATTGGAAGTCAATTACTTGAAGCACTGTATTTTACGCACGTATGTCAAGGCAGGTGTTGGGTTTCGGGGGTTCGGGGATAGATTTATTGTTTAATGCTTTGAATAACCCAGAGATAACATGAAAATATTAGCTTTAAGTTATTTTTGAACGATATAAAGATTTTCATTCTTCCATCACATTGATATTTGAGATACTGGGTGGAAAAACGGGTAATAAAACGGGTAATAAATAATTAATGGACTCTAATGATGATATTTCATTTTCGAAACTTATTTCTTTTATTTTTGCAGTTGAAGCCATAAGTAAGCAACAGTTCAAGGTAGCTTACATTAAAAAACATTAAATTTCTTTTCCCTTGTACACATAAAAGACTACAAAAGAAAAATGCAAATTTTATCACAGTCCTTGTGTTTAGCATATATTCAACGTATATTACAAACTAACTTACTAAATAGTACAATATAGATTAATTAAAGAAGTATCGAACAGATCATAAAATTTAAAACATCTAAAATTTCTTTTGGTAAAACAGTTCCATTGGAATTATAATAACTTAAAGACTTAATAATCCTTTTTTTACGACACATCGATATACTTTCGTAATAAAAAAATATAATTAAGTAAGCTTCTAAGCTACTTTTTATTTTAATGCACTAAAATGAAAAATCTTTTAAAAACTCAAGGAGAGAGGTAAGCTATCCATGTATTATGTCATTACATCACACAAAAAATTCGTTATATAACGAATAAAGTAACAAATGACATTATATCCGAATCAGACAGATATCCATATGTAACTGATATGTATATAGGTTTTCCTTTTGTTTTACTACCCTTAGTCTATAAAAAAAATGCGTGCATACAACGTACACATGTCAGAAGTGAAACTTTTCTGGCGAACTAATTTATAAATCTTGTTTATATGTATTTATACAAATCTAAAACTTTACATTTCCGAGACTAAGAAGGAAAAGGAAAAGGAAGATAGGTTAGGAATTTTATTGTCATTGTCATCGTGTCGTCATCAGCCTATCAGCGCCCACTGCTGAGCAAGGCCTCTTTCTCACATGGAGAAGGTTTGAGCATTAATCACCACGCTTGCTCAAGACGGGTTGGTGATTTCAAACATATAATTGTGAAACTATAAATCCAGGTTTCCTCACGATGTTTTCCTTCACCGTATGTCAGTGGTGTCTAAATAATCTCAGAAAGTACATATGACTCCGAAAAATCACATTGGTACTTGCCAGGTTTGAACCCGCGCCCTCGGCAACGAGAGGCGGACCCTTTAACCACTAGGCCACCACTGACTTTAAAATAGTTAATTATTAAAATATAATAATTAACTAGTAAACGAATACACAATCAATATGGCGTGCAATATTCCTTGATATGCCGTATTTTCCCTCCGTTCAATCTTTTTATATAGCTCTCTCCCACCTCTTACTCCATAGCACTGTGCGTGATACGACCTTCGCTCTGTCTCACTTTTTCTCTCAATCTTTCTCACTCGCTTGCTCCCTACTCTCACTCCACGGCTAGTTGCTTCATGCTACGTTCGCAATCTCTTACTCTCTCTCAATCGGTTTCGATCGCTCTCTCTCTCTCTTTTTCGACACTTCCGTTGTATACCGGCGTTACGTTACATCTGTAAAAATTTTACCCTCATGCGCCTAAAGAAGGGGAAAAATTGTGGGTAGGTGTCAAATTGACAACACGTATAATTTTTGCTCCTCAGTTTTTTATATTTTAAAATTCAATAAATCGTTTATTAATGCAACAATAAGTGTCCTACTTACGTGGCTTCCACTAACTCTATAGAAACATTATCACTATTCTTTAAAATTCACAAATGGATTTGCACACCCAACTCAGAAGGAACATGGAAGAAATTGTTCAAGTATTTCAGTCCAGAATGGATTCCTTTGATAAGGAACTTGCACAGTCTAAATCTTCAAGCCATTTCAAAGACCTCTCCAGCCTATCAGCGGAATACATCTCCTTCAAAACATTGGTTTGGAAAACATTATCCATGTTACAGCAGCAGTTACAACTCTTATCAGCTGGTTTTGATAAACACGAGGCTATTTCTAGAAACAATATTCTACTGTTTCACGGACTGAATGAAGCTCCTGACTCCGAGACACATTCCATCATCGAAACAGTACTATCGGACCGCATGAAGGTGTCGGGACAGGTCCTTGAGAGTATTGATGTCTGTCACAGACTTGGTACGAGAAAGGACAAGCCTCGTCCTATTCTTGTTAAATTCTCAAGTACTAAAATAAAAAACATTGTCTGGAACTCTAAATCCGTGCTTAAAGGTAGTGGTTGCACTGTGTCCGAATTCTGACGAAACCAAGGCAGGAAGTTTTTCAGGCAATACGGAAACATTTCGGCATTAAAAACTGCTGGACTTCTGACGGAAATATAGTTGTCCTCTTGCCAGATAAAACAAGGAGAAAGATTGTCTCCCATGCTGAGCTGAAGGAATTAATTGAGAAGTTTCCTAACGGTTCATCACTTATGGAACAACATTCTAGACCTCGGCGTAATCAAAAAGTTAAGTGATAATGTTCCCGGCACTTTCTTTTCTCGTTAATACTGTGGATTGTGATATTTGTTTCAAGTGTTTGTTTTGTTGACAATTATACTGTTATTTCTATGTGACACATGACAGTTCCTTCTTGATATGTTCGGATATTTGTACTAAAATCTTTGTCATTGCCACAATGTACATGTATATATCTTATTTGTTTTTTGTTTGTTTTAAATTAAGAAGCCATGTAAAGGATAACTTTATCTGAATTTATTTAAGGTAATTAGGTATTTGTTTTTGTATTATTTTTTGTATTTCCTTGATTTAATATTTTTATATATTTATATTTATTTAATATCTTATGTGCGATAGTATATTGAATATTGATATTGATAATGATTTATTTTCTGATAGTTCCACAGATGATTGTATAATTAATGATAGCGTGTCTTCTTGTTCCGATCTACAAATCAATAATTTATTTCCCGATTCATTAAATTTCTTTAACATTGTACATATTAATGCACAGAGTATTCCGGCGCATTATTCTGATCTTCTGGCATCCTTTAGCAACACACGTGTCGACTGCATTCTGGTCTCTGAGTCATGGCTGAAACCTTCTCTCCCCTCCTCTCTTTACAATATTCCTAATTTTACCCTCATACGTAACGATAGAACCTTTAAAAGAGGTGGAGGAATTTGTATTTACCTTCGAAATAACTTGTGCTTTCATACTATTTCTCAGTCTCCACAATGTGTTTCCGAACCCATTTTGGAGCACCTTTTCGTCGAAGTTAATGTCCTCAATTCCAAGCTTTTGATCGGTGTTCTATATAGCCCCTCTTCACACGTTAATTATTTTCCTTCTTTAGATTCCCTTCTTGATAAATTTTCTCCTTCTTATGATCACCTTATACTAATGGGAGACCTGAACACCTGCCTTATCAAAAATGACTACAGAGCCGAAAGATTGAAATCCTTAATTTCATCTTTTAACCTTTCAGTCCTTCCCTTATCTGCAACCCACTATCCTCCAAACGCTGGATCTTCTCTTCTCGATCTTATAATTGTATCTCAACTTGAATATGCTCGCTCCTATGGCCAAATGTCATCGCCTTTTTCTTACCATGACCTCATTTTCCTTAATTATAGTATTTCTACCGTAAGAAACAAACGCCGTTCAATTTTTCGCCGTAGTTTAAAAAGCGTTAATACTGATGTCCTCTTGTCTGACGCACTGTGTATAGATTGGTCGCCTCTTTACAATTCTGCGAATATTGATGAAAAAGTGAACTGTTTCAATTCTGAAATTTACAATCTCTATGACATTCATGCTCCGATGAGACATATACGAGTTAGGCATTATCCCGCACCTTGGCTAACTCCAACAATTAAATCCTTTATGGCCAAGCGGGATAAAGCTAAACGTAAATTCAGAAAGGATCAGTCGCTTGATAACCATGCTGCCTACAAAAAGCTGCGTAATCTCTGTAATAGAATGTGTAGGGATGCAAAGCGCCGCTACATCTTCTCCTCTATTTGTAATACTTCAAGCTCACAAATGTGGAGCTTTCTAAACTCATTGGGTGTGGGTAATTGTTCCAAGTGGAAATCTTTCCAAAATATTAATTTAAATGATTTAAATAATCATTTCTCCAATCCTCCGGTGTCTGTGCCTTCATCTCGTAAGAATTACACTTTAATGAAACTTGCTTCCACCTCCTCACCTAATGGTAACTCTTTTTCATTTCCCATAATAACGGAAGATGATGTCGAGAAATCTCTTTTATCCATTTCTTCCAAAGCAGTGGGTTATGATGAAATCAGTGTTGACATGATCTTACCAATACTCAGCGTTGTGTCACCTGTATTAACTCACATTTTTAATTTTTCTTTGGTATCAGGAACATTTCCTACTGCTTGGAAGTCGGCTCATATTATCCCGCTTCCTAAACTATCTAACCCCACTTTACCATCTCACTTTAGACCTATCGCTATTCTCCCTATCCTTTCTAAAGTTTTTGAACTCATTATCCATAAACACCTTTCTGACTACCTTCACCACAATAACCTCCTTAGCCCATTTCAATCGGGTTTCCGATCCCACCATAGTACCAGATCTGCTTTACTGAAAGTAACAGAGGATATCCGAAACGCTATGGACAACAGAGAATTAACCATTTTAGTTCTCCTAGACTTCAGTAATGCATTTAACTCAGTTGACTTCGACATCTTATTAGGAATCCTCTCTTCTCTCTCGATATCACCAACTGTTATTAAATGGTTTCAATCTTACCTCGTCGGACGTCGGCAGATGGTGAAATCTGATGAGAGCTTCTCTGATTGGAATGTCACATATGCCGGGGTTCCACAAGGCGGCGTCCTCTCTCCTTT